GAAAATTGAGAGAGTAGCCAGCAGGATCCCGGTGATGACTCATCCCTATATGGCAGTAGCCATCTTGCTCAGGAAGACCACTTCCCTGAGTGGCAGCAGGGTGAGAAACACAATAGCCCCATTCACGTGGGGGGAATCTGTCCTGCCCTGAGGTGCCTAAGCTTGACTGCTGAGTGCAGAGTGATTAGATTAACAACTAAGGGAGAGAGCCACAGATAGTAGATTCCTGAAAGTCTCAAACAGATGGCCGAAGGTCAGACAGGGTCAGTGTCTGACATCATCAGAGGGAGATCCAGAAAGAAAAAACAGCAATCTCCTACCATAGAAGTTCACACCACAAAGTCAGGAAGTCAAACCAGATCAATTTAAGAAGCAGAAGCAAAAAAAGAGAAAAGTCTCACAAATAATGGGAAGACAAAGACACCCCCCAATCAAAGAGTAAGGAGGAATTCCCACAAAGACAATTAAGTGAAACAGAGGCAAGTAAACTATCACATATTGAGTTCCAAACAATGGTTCTAAGGAAGCTCAGTGAGGTCAGTGAGGTCAGAGAGAATTACCAAAAACTACAGGGAAAGTATGAGGAACTTACTGCAAAGTATATCAGCATGAAAAAGGACATAGAAACTATTAATAAGAGGCAAGAGGAAATGAAAAATACATTTTCTGAATTGAAGAACACAGTAGAAGGAATCAAAAGCAGGCTAGTGGAAGCAGAGGAATGAATCACCAAGCTGGAGAACAAGGTAGCAAAAAGCTTCCAGAAAGAGCAAGAAAATGAAAAAAGACTCAAAAAGAATGAAGAGGCATTGAGGGAAATGCCAGACAACCTGAAACATAATAATGTCTGTATAATAGGGATACCAGAAAGAGAAGAAGAGGAGCAAGTGATTGAGAACCTGTTTGAAAAAATAATGATGGAAAACTTCCCTAATTGGAGGAGAAAAAAAGTCACACAAGTCCAGAAAGCACAGAGGGTCCCATTCAAGAGGAACCCAATGAGGCTCACTCTAAGATACATCATAATTAAAATGGCAAATACCTAAGACAAAGAGAGAATCCTAAAGGCAGCAAGGGAGAAACAGGTAGTAACATAAAGAGTCCTGCTATGGCTAGCAGCTAACTTCTCAACAGAAACACTACAAGCCAGAAGGGATGGCAAGAAATATTCCAATTAATGAAAAGCCAAGGCCTGAAACCAACACTGCTCTACCCAGCAAGGCTTTCAGTTAAAATGGAAGGCGAAATAAGGAGTTTCCCAAACAAAAGAAAGCTAAAAGAATACACCTCCACCAAAGCAGCACTGCAAAATAAAGGGACTGCCTTTAAGAAGATAAAAGAGTCTATGAATACCCAGTTCCTGTCACAGTCACCAATATTTTATATTACCAATATTTTTAATAGTTATTTATCTGATTTTGACAATGATGTGTTATTTTATTTTATTATTTGTTGAAACTAAAACTGTTTTTGTATATTTCTTGCCTATTTATATTATTTTTAAAAAGCTTTAAATGACTTTTTGGTATTCTTTATCCAATTTTTGACTAAATGTTTGTAGAATTTTTTTCCCTAAAAAAATAAAAAACAAGTATTAACCCTTTTCTATATGTGTTGCAAATACTTTCTTATTCTATTACTTGTCCTTTAACTTTTTATATGTATATTACTGTACAGTCTTAAATGTTTAATATAGTCATATTGTCAATATTTTACTTTATACCTTCTGTGTTTGAATATTTTACTTCAGGGTAAGAAAAATATTATTTGTATTTTCTCCTAAAACTCCTTAGACTTTAAATATTGATTTTTAACTCACTTGAATATTTTTTGTATAATGTGTGAAATAGAGCTCTATATTTGTTTTATTTCAAATAATAGTGGTTCATGCACTTTATTTGTTGAATAAGTCTTATTTTCCCCATTGATTAGAAATATCAACTTAATCATATATTACATTGTTAGACAGATATGTACATTTGTTTCTAGAGTGCTCACTTCATTTCACTGATGTATTCGATTATTTCGGTGCTGGTGTCATGTTCATCAAAATAAGAAGCTTCTGCACAGCTAAAGAAAACATCAGCAAAATGAAAAGGTAACCAACCATAAGGGAAAATATATTTACTGATGATACCTCAGACAAGGGTTTGATTTCCAAAATGTATAAGGAACTCACACAATTCCACTCCAGGAAGACAAAAAACCCAATTAAAAAATGAGAAAAAGACCTGAGCAGACAATTCTCCAAGGCGGACGTATATAGGGCCCAGAGGCATAAGAAATGATGCTCCACATCAGTAGCCCTCAGAGAAATGGAAATGGAAACCACAATGAGATACCACTTCACACCAGCCCGAATGGCCATCATGGACAAATCAGTGAACAGCAGGTGCTGGCCACGTTGTGGAGGAAAGGGAACCCTAGAACATTGTTGGTGTGAATGCAGAGTGGCCCTGCCATTGTGGAAAACACTTTGGATTTTCCTCAAAAAGCTAAAAATGGAATTGCCTTTTGACCCAGCAATAACACTGCTAGGATTATCCCCTAAGAATCCCTAAACACCAAGTCAAAAAACCTGTGCACCCCAATGTTTATGGCAGCACAATTTATGGTAGCAAAGTGCTAGAAAGAACCTAGGTACCCATTAATAAATGAGTGGATCAAAAAATTATGGTACATTTACACAATGGAATACTATGCATCAGAAAGAAGTAGAGTTACTACCCTTTGCAACAGCATGGATGGAACTGGAGAGCATTATCTAAGCAAAATAAGCCAAGGGGCGAAAGAAAAAATACCATATGATCTCACCTCTAAGTGAAACCTAATCAACAAAACAAACAAGCAAGAAAAATATAACCAGCAACATTGAAAGAAAAAACAAACTGATGGTAACGATAGGAAAGGAGGGAGGGGGTCAATGGGGAAAAGAAGGGGAAAGGTCAAGTCAAGGAACATGTATAAGGGACCCATGGACAAAGCCAAAGTGGGAAGGATTGAGGGTGGGAGGTGGAGGTGGGTGGGGCAGGTTAAAGGGGGGGTGGGAAAATGGAGACAAATGTATTTGAACAATAAAAAAATTAAAAAAAATTGAAAGAAAATTGAGTTTGACCATTACATACTAAATTACTTCCTGTAAGTACTGATGTATAGTTACATAATTTTTGAATGCAAAAAGTCTTATTAATCAAATACCAAAGACATAGGAAAATATTATTTGATTGAACAGAACAAAGAGACAAAATGTAATTAACAAAAAACCTAATAAACAAAATGAAATGGCAAACAACAATGTGGATAAAATATTTCCAATATAAACTGGAAATTTAAATATATTTGAAATATACAGAGCATGTACTATTCAGTATTAAAAATACAAATAACACTGGAAAACTGGAAAAGAGAAATTAATGCCTAAATGCAAACAATACATTTTTATTGAGTAACTCCTATATGTCCACTACTGTACTAGGAACTAGGTAGGGTATAGTAATAAAAATGGAACATATAGTATTTACCTTCATAGACTTTATCTTCTGGAAAATTCACAAAACCAGAAATACAAATGATCCATAGATATACAAATTTTTTTCCTCAGTTAAACCAAAAATGTGAAAGTTAAATCAATATATAATTTTTCACTAATCAAATGTCCAAGTTTTAAAAGAATATGTAATTTGGTGACAAAAGAAATAAGTGCTCTGTTGGTGAAAGTGGCTATTAAAGGCACTTTTTATTTGAGGGACATTTGGCAATTAAAATTATTGTATCGAATCATTCAACTCCTAGAAGTTTACATATAGAAATAATAAATAGTACATGGAAAATGTTTCTTATCATGATAAAAATTATTTTAAGAATAAAAATTTTAAAAATACTTACATTTCTATAAACAGTTTAAAAATATGTAATCCATGGATAAAATGAACTATTATATAACTAAAAATGATTTCAGAAGGATAGCTTATGAAGTGAAAAATATGCCTGAGTCCCTATCAAATGAAAAAAATGTTTATAGAACATTATACTAAATGTGGGCTTCTTTGTATGAAAATTTTTATATGTACATAGAGGAAATATAAACTTCTGTTGAGGTTATACAAAGAAAATTCAAGTCACAAATACTTAGACACTGTTCTAATATCCATGATTCTCAGATATGATTTTTATTTTACATTAACAACATAGCTAAAAACATAGACTATATGGAAGTCAAGTCTTTGTAATAGAGATCCATTGAAATAAGTAAAGCAAGTTGTCCTGGTTTTAATGGAGTTAAGTGATATTAGCACCATCTACTGGTATATAAACAATGCTACAACTGCGGCAATATGCAAGTTGCCTGGGACAATGCAAAACCCACATTCCAAAAAGATTATTTTTCTTTTCCTTTTCCCACAAGAGAAAACAAACAAACAAACAAATAAAAATGCTGAATGTCTTCACTTTTCCAAACTTAATTTATTTAAAATAAATCTCTATATCAGACAAAGGTAATTTATGTAATACACAAAGTTCATTCTAAACATGGCTTTAAGCTTAGTGTATGTTTTCAGAGTAGAAAAGGTTGAAGTTTGTGCAAAACTGTAACAAAATACAAGATTATAATTCAATTAGACAAATACATATTGAGTCCTTAATATGAGTCAAAATAATGCAAAGTGGGAATACAATTTTTTTTTTGGCTGTACACAAGAACTTAAGTTTATTTGAAACAAAAACAAAACAAAACAAAAAAGAGAGAGAGGAAAAGAGAGAAAATGGTCAGAAGTAACGCACATAAGGTTGAGAATTAAAAGCATCTTACACTATGCCCTAATGTCAACATAATTAATAGGAACAAATGGCCATCTCACCATCTGCCACAGCCAGAGGGTATTTCTGCAGGTCTGACTAGCAAATTGTGTGAAGTATGTGGTGTGAATGAAGAAAGCTTGGCGGGTCTTCACAGCAGACTTTGGGCTCCCAGTGTTTTCGGACCGTCATTCTCTGAGTGGCTAGGAGAGATATGTGTCTTTTAACACAAGGGTCCCCACGGCTCCATTCGCAGCACCAGGTTTGCCGTTTCTGGTAGATACTTGGTTGGGATTTGGTTGGGATATACACTTGTTTCAGTTTACTCTCAGCTTCAGCTGCTTTTAGACGTTTCTGCTGTACACATCTGTCAGTAGTTTTCCACATGTAATAATATTCAATGATGCTCGTCAATGATTTGCAAGGGAAAAAGTCTTGACGTATATCATTGAAGTCTTTGCCGTATTTTTCCAGTGCCTCTTCAAATAAACTAGCTTCTGAGGCTGACCATTCTTCCAGTTCATTTCTGCATAAAACAGGTCCTCCAAGTGGCACTAAGACACTAATTGCACTGCTCAAATCATAGCTGTGTCTATACAATGTATTCATAGCATGAAATAGGGTGATGTCTCCAGAAGCTGCAGTTGTGCTCATATGCAAACTAGGAGGCCTTACAGTACTGCTGCAATCAAGGGCTTGAGCCAATGTCCCAACAGCATGTGCTACAACTAAAAACTGGTCAATCTGTCGATATGTAAGTGGGCTGTATGGGTCCCAAACTTTAACTTCTAGTTTTGATTGTCCCTTCTCATCTGATTCTCCTTCTGAAAGCATTTCTGGAATGTCTGCTTGATATATAGATCCCACTCTGACTTCACCTTTGTCAGCTAATAGTGTTTTCACTGAGGGGTCATGGACCAATGAGTAGAAAAAGCTATCCTCTTTATCAAGATATGACAATACTGACTCTGTCTCATTCAGAAGGGCAACACTGCATTTCCCCCTCATACATGTTGCAGGCAGAGATTCATATTGGCATGATAAAAAGAGTTCCCTATGTTTCAACTGGTGTTTCTGTTTATCAGTCAAGTCGGCCTCAATTGTTGTTTCAGATTCTTCCTCAGTTTCTTTAGCGTGTTTGTCTGCAAGCGTTCTAAGCGTGCTGGGAATATCTTGTCATCCATGAAAACATACTACTTTTGCTTCCACGTTGCCAGTTGCAGTCTTGTTGAGTTCTACCCTCATGATTAGGTACGGGTTGCCGAAGGAATTCCCAAAGTAGGCATAACCTCCAGCAAGGGCCATGTTGGCTGCCATGTCTACCCGCCCAAATTGTTATTTTTGATAACATATTTTAATTATTGAAATAAAAGTCTTAACTTTACTTGTATAGAAAATATAAAATATGTGAAAGATGTATATGAGCTGAAAAGAAACCAGAGTGTGTATGCATGTATGTATGTATACATATATGTGTGTGAATAAACACATATGAATATGTCACATATTGTGTATAGGTATCTATATAAATATAAAGGCTCCAAATAGTAGCATTTGAGGGTATAAATACATATCCATTCATATATTTTTCACCAGGTATGATCCATCTCTCTTAGAATTGACTTTTCATAAAATGTTCACCATTTACCACAGCTTTACTATTTTCTACCTTCTCTGCCTCTTCCAGCAAATATTTAGAAGCCAACAACATATTACATAATGTTACTTTTGTTTAATTGGAATCATATAAAGTTGTAGACAATGAAATTATGTCTAATCCCCAGCCCAAATACTCCAGAAAGGCTATGTTACATGTCCTCCTTACAGGTTAGTTCACTCTTTCAACCCTTTAAAAAACTAGAATCACTGTTAGAACAGAGTAATGTCTGATAAATGGTTCTTTAAAATATGCCCCCAAACTGAGCTGGGACACTGAAATGTCAGGTCTCCTTCAGAAATATTTACCCAAATTCACAAATCTTTCAGATTGTGTCTGTATAGAGTTGCTGACTCAAGTAATTCTTCAAATAGGTTTCTGTGATAACTTTATGTGTTGTCCCAACATAAATATTTTCAATAGCAATGAATTTTTTTCTTGAAAGGACATTTCTACACAGTAAAAACTTTCAATAATTCTGCCTTTTGGACCTCAATAAGCTATGAAACTGAAATAGGAAAATAGATAATTAAATACTTACATAGTTTTTAGCTACATGTTGTCAATTCTCTTTTCAGTAAGTTCCCTTAGTGGCATCTCCCACAGAAGCTCTCTCCATGAAGAGTCTGACAACAGCACAGTAATTAAAATACAGATGAGAAAAAAAGGTGGTTAAACTGACTTGAGATCTCTATTAGAGTTGTGTGAATTCCAATGTGTACTGCCACATTAAGATGTTGGGGATACAGCACAGGTTTTATTGTAGAATCAAACAGGTAGATTCAAATTCTTGCTTAGATATTCACTAGCCAAGCACCCTTGGGCAATTCACTTCATTTCCAGTAGTCTCATGTGCAAATTAGAGTAATAACTACATGATAGTAGTATTGTTGCAAAAATTAAATTAGAGTCTACACATAAAGCAGAGATCTGAAATTAAGTGAAAAATGGATGAATGCAATGGCAGTGAAATATTTTATATTTCAAAAATTTCACCCTAGTTGGTATGGCTCAGTGGATTGAGCGCCGGCCTGCAAACCAAAGGGTCGCTGGTTTGATTCCCAGTGTAGGGCACATGCCTGGGTTGCAGGCCAAGGCCCCAGCAGGAGGCGTGTCAAATGCAATCACACATTGATGTTTCTCTACCTCTCTTCCTCCCTTCCCATCTCTAAAAATAATTAAATAAATAATCTTAAAAAAGGCTTCAAGAACATGTGCACACACAGTCCTTACTCATATCATTATGTGTCTGCAGCAACACATGAATATTTGAGGTGAAGCCAGGTATATTGCTAGGTGTGGCATAAGCGTACCTGGCAAACATGGCTTGGGTAATTTAAGCCTCCCTGTTTCCCAGTCATCTGATTGGCCTTCTGATGGAATGCTGTGGGTGGATGGTGTCAACATCAGAAGACTGCTAAGAAAAATAAAGACCAGGCTAGGGTATTGTCATGGTTGGTTTCTCACCAGCACATTGTGGCCTCCACAAGATAGATATCCATGCATCCAACTTTGTGCCAGATACTCCAATAGTTACTGGTTGGAAAACAGCAGTAAACAAAACTGATACTGTTCTTGCCACCATGAAACATGAAGGCCAGTCAGTCCAGTGGCTGAAAGATGATGTATCTGTAAGCACTTATGAAAAGGATTAGAACATTTATAAGAAGAAAGACTGTAAACAACCCCATAAACAGAACAAAAATATTTAGCAGATATCAGTGGAAGATACCTAAACTTTCTGATTGCAATGATGCTTTTGCAATAAGATGATGCACAAATATGTAGCCACACCTAACACTTAAGTAAATAGGTAAAATAAACCAAAAAAATTAGAACTGTGGAAAGATTTTCTGAATATAAAATATTTCACATAATGAGTCTTTTATTTGCATGTTTGGTAAAAGCCTGATTGATAATCATCATTTGTTTAGAATTCACCTTTTCTGGAGAGCTATTTTTAAGACTTTTTTTGAGAGGATTCTAAGTATACTCATATATTATTGTATTTTATTAGTTATATGTCCACACATTGATATTCAGTCTTGTGCTTTCAGTTATTCTCAACATTTTCTTTTGTTATCTCTTTTTGACATAATGCAAAGCCTTTAATTAATTTAAACCACGTGAACACAATTGGCAATTATGGCCAGGAATTTGGACCAGACAAAAAGCAGAATAATGCTTAATAAGGCTAATGCTCGTCTATGCTTACAAGTTCAGTCAAATTTTGAGCACATTTTAGGGAAGGCATTGGGGAAGATACAAAAAACAATAAACAATGAGTTCTACCATCAAGGACCAAGCAATCTAAGATGGGAAGATACAAAGTTTAGTAATAAAAATAGTAAAAGAATATGTTAAGTGCCATATGGGAGGCAGACAAAAAATAAGCTAGCAAAGTGAGTTTCCATTATGGCTATGTAAGAAGTTATCCCAAGAGTTGACGTTGTTAAATAACCATTTATTATTCTGTGGTTCAGGAATTAGGACTGGACACAATATGGAGAGTTTGCCTCTGCCTTATGATGTCTGAGGCCTCAGCTGGATGACTAAAGCTTGGAGACTGGAATCATCTCAAGGTTCATTTGTATGTTCGGCAATTCGTGCTGTCTAGACTCAAAAAAGCTGGTGAGAGCAACTGGGGCTCTTTGAGCAGCTCATTCTGTCTTTTTGTGGTCTGCCTGGCCTCTGCTTCTTTGCCTGTGTGTTGAGAGAGAACAGCAGGTAGAAGGTGTATTGCCTAAAATCCAGCCTTACTTAAAAGTTCTCCCTGCCACATTTTGTTAAAGTTAAGTTGGTAAGACTAATCAATATTTAAATGGAATAAAACTAGTTTTCAGATTTTGTGGGAGTAGTGTGAAGGGACTTGTTGGCATGTTTTTAAACCACCACATTGGGGGATCAGGGAAAGCTTCATAGAGATACCACCATTTGAGTGAGGTTTTGAAAGATGAATGTATCTTGAATAAGCGGAGGTAAGATAAGTGGAAGTAACCACAAGGATTTGTATTATCAGCAGGTTAAAGTACATGAACAGAAGAGACTGGTTAGGCTAGGGCATTGGGAGTATACAAAATGAAGCTGAAAACACAAAGACAATCAAGGTGAGGCAGGACTTACATGCTAAGCTAAGCTTATAAGCTAAGGAGCATGGATTTGATTTAGCCAGGAATGGAAAGCTATTACACATTGTGGTTTTCAGCCTTGGTTGCCATTGGAATCATCCAGGGAGCCTTAAAAACACCAATGCCTGGGTCCCACCTTCAAAGACTCTACTTCAGTTGTTCTGGAATGTCGCCTAAACATCAGAACTTTTGAAAACTTCCCAGGTGATTCTAATGTCAGCCAAGGTGCATTAAAAGAGTTTGAGGTCAGAAGTGATGTTATCAGGAATCAGTTTTTATTCTGAAAAGCCAGTGAATAGTTCACAGGAGATCTGTTTTCTTTTTTGCTTGCCTGTGTTTTATAATGCCAAATCCCTGAGGACCCTTATAAGCCTATTTGAATGGGATGTTAAGGGAGTCAGTAATCCTAAAATCATTAAAATATGGGCTTACCCTTTTTCCCATTTGATATTATAGTTTTAATAAAATCTAAGAAAAAGCCTGCTGCTGTGTTGTCCTCTCTAGGATCTAGGACTTCTGAGCAACTGCCACTCAGTTACCAGGGATCCTGGCAAATCTGCCTTACCCTGAAAATGAAGTTCTATTTCAGTAATCTTCATACCACCTTTTCTGTCTGGTCAGGGAAATGGCAAGGGTTCCCAGGGTTTAGAATTTGTAATCTCCTCAGGCACTTTAAAAAGACCAAGATCTCTACATTTCCCCTACCTACCTTTTCATTTAGCCCTGCATTCTAAGAATAAGAGGTAAGTGTTTATACTAATATATCCATGGCAGAGATACCCACTGCCATAAATTGAGTATATTTCTAACAGGGTATCAAGTGGAAATGATAAATAGAAACTTTAGATATTGAATTCTAGAACCATCAGTGTCACATTGAGTCATCCCAATATTCCATATGAAGGGTATAAAGAATTATTTTATACCTTATATGTAAATATAAATTTGTGCTTAATATACTTGCAACTACATTATCATATATACTATTCAAAAATTTCACAAGGGAGGTCTTAATATCTCCATTTCACAGATGAGGAAAATGAGACACAGATTGTGACTTGTGCAAGGTCATAGTAGGTGGCAGAATGAAATTTGAATACGGACATTCTGATTCCAAGTTTAGTGTTCGTCACACTATACATATTTTATGTTTTGTGAGAATTGTAACACAATTTCTTTTCATTAAATCAACAGAACTTTAGGGCACTTAAATAACCCTGGTTTCTTTAGTATATTTTTAGATTATATTAAACCTTTTATAAAAATTTCACATATATTTTCACTGCATGCACCTTATAAATTAATTAGATATGTAAACTTACTGTGTGCTTTGCAAATCCTTTTTATCTGACTTATCTCTGAAATTACAAAAGATGCCTCATATTTATTATATACTAAAATTTGGGGGATGCAGAATTTCATCTATTTTGTTGGTTTAATTCTTATTTTTCTATAGCCTCTAATTTTCAGGCCAATCTGTTCAAATCCATAACTATGCCCTTGCATATACCATCTCATTATTCTAATTTTTC